ACAGACAACCTCTCGTCAATATGCGTTTTTCGCATTGCATTGCTGCAAAAAACGCATAAAAATGGTCACTGTACTAAAAGCAGTTACACGGCAATGAAAGGGGGAAATGACTGAGATGATGGATGCGGCTTCGAGCTAGCGGGTGTAAAGTGTGGCAAGAACAAGCTTCCTATAAAAAGGAAGTACCATTTCTTAAATGAGTTTGGCTTTTTCATTTATCCATGTATTATTATAATTCAATACTACCCAGATGATTCCTGCTGTTTTCCTGATAAATTTTTGCGCATCTTCGGCTAAGTGTTGTGTTCTTCCTATAACTTGCATTTTTTTCTGTTGTATTTTATGCGCGTTGACTTGTTTCTTTACGGGTTTTTCTTGAAAGGGCAGTTTTGGCACCTCTGTGCAAAACTAGAACTGGTCCTTATTGCTGCTTTTAGTCTGAGTTAGAGTACCGAACATCCTGCATCGTCAGTAATATATTATTTTAAAAGACGAAGCTTTTTTTCTTCTTTGAAGATATTCTACTTAACATTGTGCATTATTAGGTTATTGTCAGCCGACACTTATATTCAAATTCACTGCATTGCATTTGTCTTTTAATGGTCAGTATTATTCGTTTCGTGGATATCCTCACAAAGTTGGATTACCGAAGTATCGGTCAGTTTGGGAATTTCGTTCATCTCCAAATTTAGAACGATAGAGGATTCCGAAAACTTAAATGAACAAGTTGCAGGAGAAGCAGCCAGCTGGGCATGGAGAATACACAATACAGTTGAAGTGACCGCACTGGGCGCCCACTTCGCCGTCATTGTTTTATGCCTTAGGATCATGGAAATAACAAACGACTCCAGCATCCCACATATCCCGCAACCTTTTATGGATTTCAGGAACCCGTTGAGTGTGCAGCCACCAGCAAGCCAGCAATATTCATACACCTTCCAGGAAGCATGATGATGGTTGTTTTACATCCTTTGGTCATTTCGAAAGCAGTAAAGTACGGGTGTGTGTGATCGCTACAAGTGGAAGTAGAACAGCTGCTGGATGTGACGGGGGAACTGAATATCGGATAGTACTTGCGAGAAACAAGAAGACACTCGATTGTTCTCTAAGATGTACGATTGGCGATGCATGTAAGCTAAACGCGAGAAGGGGTACAAGGCACTGTTGTGCTGGACGTGTGGCTTCTACCCCACAGTAATGGTTGGAAAAGTGTATAGGCAGAACATTGGCGATCAGAATTAAAAATGGTCGGTTAAGTAACGAAAGAAGGGAGCAGTGCTCCACACTGATGACAAAAATTGTCATCCTTGCAAATTCTAAGACGTTTTCCCAAAGTGCCTTTCAGTTTTGGTAGGAGCTGCGAAACTCGAGTTAATATTTCACATAATGATTTATGGTTTTTATGCGTTTTTTGCAGCAATGCAATGCGAAAAACGCATATTGACGAGAGGTT